CACACACACACACACACACACACTGCATGGAGGAAACATAAAGCATGGAATGGACAGAGAGCAGAAACTTTACCTCTTTAAACCAACGATCTCTTCCTGCTTTTCTTCTCTCTTCCTCCGTTTCCTGAACTGAAATCCTCCTGCTCCTCTTCAACTTCTCCAGATTTGGTTTTTCCTCTGGTTCTGGACTCGGCTGCAGCTCTTCCCCCTCTCTTTGGCCCTCTGCTCGTCTCAGATGAGTGTTTTTTTCCTCTCTCTCTCTCTTCTTCTTCTTCTCCTCCTCCCTGCCCCCAAAACCTCTCTCCTCCTTTCTCAACAGCAAGGCAGCAGAAAAGTTATTTTCCTGCTGTACGTCAGCTCCTCTGGTTCACCCTCTCATGGTGGAGCTGGTGCAGTGTGTGTGTGTGTGTGTGTGTTGCAGTGTGTGTTACAGTGTGTGAGTCAGCTGAGAGTGATAAACGCAGCTTCAAAGTCAAACTCCCTACACCAACTTTGCGATGACTCCTCCTGAAACCCTGCAGCTGCGTCCTGCCAGAACATGCAGGTAAATAACCACAGGTGTGTTCTGGAGCTCCTGCTTTCAGGAAACTGTAATCATACATGGAGGGGGGTGGGGGCAGCAGGAAGACTCCACAACAAGAAGAAACATAATAATTAAAAAGGATGTCAGCGCACTGAAACGTATGTTTTGTAAAGCTTTTAACAAGAGTATCACCTGTGGTGCGTAGTCCACCTGTCAGTAAAATATCAACGTAATGAAAACCAAAAACATGAATTCCTTCACACAACAATCCTGAGTTTGTTAAGGAAATACATGACTGTGGTGGGGTCAAAGGTCAATGCCACTGATAATTACGTTGTTATTGGTGTAAATAGAAAAACAGTTCAATAAAAAAACATGTAGGAACATGAAACTGCAGCAGCTGCAATGGGAAGAACTCACCTACCAGTTTATCCAGTTTGGGTCAAAAATACTTCTCATAAACGCATTTATTTTTCGACAGTTTTATAACTATGAAAACAAAAATACTGAATCCATGTTCTAAACTCAACACGCGGTCTATAAACCAAGAAATCCTGGCTGCGTCTCAATTCATGGCCTAGCTGGGCCACGTAGGCCACGTAGGCCACGTCCTCGCTGGGCCGGGTAGGCTGCTCAAAACTGCTGCGAAATGAGACGGTC